GGCAACACAATTCGATGGCATTGACACGTGCAGGTATTTCTACAGAGGACCAATCTCCATAAACCTTTCTACATTTAATATAATGCTTCAAATGAAGTGTAATATACTCCTATAACCTAAATAAATGGATACTTATAAAATAAATAATGGAAACGCTGTTTGATAACCATCTGTTTGCTGTTCTTTGGGGTATTTTAAGTTTTAATATCCCCATAGAACAGCAAAACAGATGGTTATCAAACAGCGTTTCCATTATTTTAATAGACGTAGCCTACAAGACTAACCAGATAAATAGTGGATCGCTAAACCACCGAAAAGCAACCCTCTCCTCAATAGAGCTCAGTGTCAAACACTTGTCGACAGGCTACCGTTGCAAAACGGCCAAACGGAAGGAGATTCATGCGCTAATACGGTCCGTTACGTTAATTCTGCATACTGGACATTTACTAGTTTCCAAGGAAACCATCCAAAGTATCATTCGCCCATTTGCGCTACACACATCACACCAGCCCCGGTCGTCTACTTTCGAGTCAACTCTCCAAGATGAAGAAGTTCTTCGCCACGATTCTCATTGCCGCCGCCATCGTAACTCAGGGTGTTGCCCAGACTCCGAACACACCAGCGGCAACAACCACCACGACCACAGCACCTGCTGTCACTCCATCCACCGCTCCCAGCACTACCACAGCTCCTCCCTCTACGACCCCATCGCCAAATGCGCTTGTGCCTGCTACGACGGCCCCGGTTGAGCCAATCACCCCAACGACCTCACCCACCGGTGTTACAAGCGCGCCGACAGCGTCTGGCGAGGGCTCCACAGACAAAACCAATGAAGCTGCATCGACCGGTTCCGATGCTAGTGGATCGAGTAATGGCTCGCCCAATGTGGGCGACACTTCAGGCTCCTCGATTGCCATTAGTGGACAGTGCATTTCGCTTCTGTCTGCAGCATCTGCTGTCGTTGCTACTGTGGTTGCTGCTCTGTTCTAAGTGTACTCCGATAGGTTTACTCGCCCCAAAAAGGCATTGCTAATGCATACGCGCCGCCATAGCGGCTGCAGTCCCCCAAACGGATTATTCTGTAGTTTGTTTTTATCTTCTTTGCTTCACATCTAGTTCGACTTGGAGTTCTTCAACCCTGAAGATGTACAGGTTGACACCCACACACTACTGAGCGCCTAGATTTCCGTTAAGTTATAAAGAAAATAGTCGTGCTTTATACGGTGAATCTAGCAGGTGAAAGATGATAAAGCTACTAGGGCCACACGGGAGGGGCACTTGGAATTGCATACATGAATTGAGCATTGTCGCTAAAACAAAACATCTGAATTTTAACCGTTATGCTCGCAGTCATGCCCCTTGTAAAAAAAATCGTGTATTTTAGTGCGTAGATACTTAAATTTCGTGAAATTTTGACTCATCCGCTCAAGATTAAGACAGATTCCCTTCCATCTCATAAACTAATGACGGTCGAAAACCATTTCTTTGGCGCCCTTTCATTACAAGTTTTTCTTTGATACTTGGAAAGTATAGCACTCCGTTTTAAATGCAGCTTTGGGAAATGAACTGTCGGTTTGTTAGGCACTTGACCGAACTTGTCCAAATCATAAAAAAAGCTAATCATCAGTCCAACACAGCACAACACCATTGCAAGCTCGCTCAATTTACTCCGCTCGTCCTCGCTTTTGCCCAACCACTTGCGCGATCTGTTCGGTCAGTCTCTTTCTTTCCATTGCCTCAACGTCCCAACCTCCTCTACGGAGATCAATGACAGCTAGAAGACGAGCTGCAAGCGTCGTTGATAACTTCGCGCCCCTGTTGAGTTGGTCCTTCAATAGCCAAAAGTACTTGAACACGAGCATATTGTTGCTTCGAGATTCCAAAACTGACCCAGCGGACTCCAAGAGTGCACAGTCCATTAAGGTTAATATCATTCGGAACAGCGTCGGGGTTCAAGTAATCAAACTCTCCTTCGAGATTCTTTCGGACACCAAGAAGCATTTCAATGCACCGGTGCATGGTGTCGTCTTCAACAATGCCTCGTCGAAACAATGCGCCGAGGAAATGGCATGTGTCCTCTTTGCGCTGTCTCACGTGCTCCAACTGTTCCGTCTTCAGTCCAGAGGCCTTCTTCACCTCCAGCACTGCTTGGCAACATCTCAGTAAAACGCACCGAACCAAGTGAAGATTACCCATCGAGCGCTTTGCCTGACGGCGACTGTTATACCCCCCCTTGAGTACGAGGGGCCTGGACAGGTAGAACTTGTGCTGCTGCTCGTCTTCCCATTGTTTATACAGCTTCCCGTCTCGGAAAGACATCCCTGCTGCCTTCAAACGCAGCGATGGATCTAGTTTTACCAGGTCCAAATCACTACACTTTGCCCTTTCGTTTCAAAAGGTCCTGCAATTTTGTGTGGAAACTTCTCCTCCAGCAACGAATAGTAGTCGCCATCGATGGACTGGGTCACTACCATCCGTTGCGTGGAGCATTTCGTTTCCAGGCGTTCACAGAAATCGGCGTACACATCGCAGAACTCTTTGTTGGCCAGCGCTTCCTCAAAAATTGTGGTGGCAACGTCCTCCAGATCCCCCACAGTCTCCACTCTCACATTCAACAATGCAGACCTAGATAAGGCAAATTAGTGAATGACTGGTAAGCTCCGTTACCCGGATGTAGTCAAGAAACGTCAACCACTGCACTTCAACAAACGTAACCTTGATGTACCCCTTTCATACCCCACATCGTAACTGGATTTTCGCATTTTGAAGAACCAGACAACCAGCATCATCATGGCTGGCCGCATGGACTTGGAAGCGCGTCTTCGGGCCTTGCGCGAAGGCAAGCGACCTCCAGCGTCCCCACCAGCTCCACCTCCACCTGTACCTACCGCCGCATCTTTTTCATGGCCCGAAGTTCCTTCCAACCCCGTGAAGAATGAAATCCCCGTGCGTCAGCGTGTTCCAGTCGCTGTGGGCGGCGAATACCAGCCCGTACGTCGCGTTTCCGCGAGTTTCTCGGCTGATCCACCTGTTACTATTATTGGCCGCTCATCGTCGGACGATTCCGCGCCTTCAGCGAGCTTTTCGACGCCTGTGGTACCTCCGAAAGTGGAAGAACCAGCTCCTGGTCAGGAAGAAGTGCTGCGACTCACAGCAGCGCAATTACTGGGCCCTGACTACGAAGAGGCCGTGAAAGTGGCTCAATACGCCATCGATAATGAGCGCAGGCAAATGCCACACACAGCTATTGACGGTTATATCCGAGCGGGGCAGATGCTCATCGAGATTGGCAGACGACAAGCAGCGCCGCATCTACAGGACATTGTCAAGGCCAAAGCTCTAGATCTGCTGCAACGGGCTGAAGGCCTGTCCGAGTGGACGAATGAGGTGCTGGCAAAGGACTCGAGTCAGCAGGCGCTGGCTGCAGCGTATCATCAGTCGCAGCAGAACCGCTACAGGTCGTTAACAGAGAAACAGGAGCTGGTGTCCAAGATGCAGCAGGACAATCGTAATATGAAGGAGAGACTGAACCAACTGGCACTACTGACGAAGATTCGAGGGCGGATGATGAATGTGGTGAAGAAGAGACGAGCGAGGAAAGCAGCGGAGGCGAGAGAGAGGGAGCAGACGGAGGCAGAGGCCGCAGCACAAAGTACACGAGATATCATGAGTCGTGGGGATTTCAATGATGTGACCGGGGAGATCGATGACTATGAGGAGGAAAGCTATGGAGGACTGAATAACGTCTCTGGATCTGGCTCAGATGAAGACGGAGAGTCCCAGAAGCCTTACCAGCATTATCGCTCGTCACTATTTCCATCAACACGCAGTTCACCGCGAGAAACGCAGAAGGTTGACCTTATCAATGAGCTACATGATCGTATTGGACTGCCTCAGATCGACCATCTCCGCAAGTTTGAGCCCTTAACAAACGACCCGACAGCAGATAGCAGACAGGAGGAGCTGCATTCTGAATTGGAAGCAGCAAAGCAAGAAGCAGACAAGTTGCGAGCGGCAGTGCAGGAGATGGAGCAGTGTTTACGCCTTGCAGCGCAGCACTCGAAGCAGCGCTCGATTAAACTGGAACAGCAGAAGGCGCAGGAGTTCGCGGAAGTGCAGAGCGAGTTGGATCGTGTGCGTGAAGAGCTTGAGGTCGAGCGACGGCGGTCTGCTACATTACAGAGTGGTCCATCCAGCTGGAGATCTTCAGTGGCCTCTGATCCTGGTGCGGATGAGTCCCAGGAGACGGGGGTCATGAGGCATCTCCGGTCTTCTCTCCACAAGGTATTCCGTTCACGCGATGAACTGTCTGATGATGGGGATGGAGAGCGTAGTCGCCGTGCATCTGTTCAACGCACTTCGTATTCACATGACTCTCCACGGCATACACCAAAGGCCAAGGAGAAGAAATCAATGGCTCAGTATATCGATGTAGACGACGAAGAAGACATGGAGGAAGACGAAGACGGCGGCGTGTGGCTGTAATCAACGTCTTGAACCTAAAACGGCTATTCCTGTTTTATGGGTCTCCCGGTGGTGTTTTGTAAGTGGAGACGGCAATCTTGTATATAATAAACCAGAAGCCATGGATGGCTACTCCAGGTGAGCTTGTATGACGAGGTGGTATCCTATCTGCGTCAAGTCTAACTAGACTGTAAACAATAGAGTGAAGCTGCTGGGTGAAGGCTCTTTTGGGCGCGTATTCCTGATGCGTGAGAAGAAGTCTGGTGATCGTCTGGTGTGCGTTAAGGAGATTCATCGTATGCATTGCCCTAAGAGATCAACTTTTGCTGGTCGAGGGAAGTCGGTCGATGTGGAGTTGGATCTAATGAAGAAGCTACGACATCCAAACCTCATCCGGTTATTGGCCTCAGTTGTAGGTCCACCTCCACTCCGACAGCAATTCATCGTGATGGAATATTGCTCCGGCGGAGATCTACAGACTTATATCAAGACAAACGGAAGGCAAAAATCTTGCTTGGATGAAGATGCGATATGGTACTGGTTTGTTCAGCTGGCTCTGGGACTGCATCACATGCACCAGCAGCGTGTGTTGCATCGCGACTTGAAGACTGCCAATATTTTTCTCTCTCACGCTGGTTATCTCGTTCTTGGTGACTTTGGAATTGCACGAACACTAAGAAATGACGACATGGCTACGACTATGATCGGTACACCGTTGTATATGGCGCCAGAGGTATTGGACGGCAAGGAATACAGCTTCAGTTCGGATGTGTGGGCACTGGGATGTGTGTTATATGAGTTATGTACCGGCAAACCTCCGTTCACGGCAAATAATGCTGCACAATTAGTGAACAAAATTTGCCACGTTGACTACGTACCAATTCAAAAGGGAGGAAGTCTTAAGACTTCACGCCTGCCGACACTGGTAGCTTCAATGCTCAACGCACGGCCTGATCTTCGTCCTTCAGTAGATCAGCTCCTTCACGACTCAATCGCTCGCGTCCATATCCGTCGGTATTGCAAGGATCGACTCCATTCGACAGATATAAATGCGGATGAACAGCGCGTGCTACTACAGCAGATTGCGGTGTTGGGGACTAACTCTAGTGTGGATAATGCGATGAATACGACCATCAGGATAGATTCGTATTCAAGACACAAGATTCATACCGATCGGGATCAGGAGGATCGAGAGAAAAAACTCATGGAGGTACGCGAACGCGAACGTCGAGATCAAATTCAATTTGCATTGGAGGAATTGCAGCAATTGAAGCTTCGCTTTCCGGCTGCTTGTGATTCCGAGCCAATAGTTAGCACCGCCAACGAAAAGGTTGAAGAGGTCAAAAACCCTGTTCCAGAGATTAGACTAGATGTTTGTAAGGCACCGCTTCTTGACGAGGAATGGCGAGAACCGGTTCGTGCGGTAACGGAAATCCCTAGGAGTGTTGTGCAAACTGAGCAACAAGGTCAGGCTAGGCTTGGTCGCGCGAATTCTGTCCCGAAAGAGTTGATCTTCACTGGGATACCTCGAGTTGGTGTGCCTCTCACGCAAATGGCCAAGACGTTTGCATCTCGTCATCCTGTGAGTCGTGACATTCGTGCTTTGAGACGAACTGAGGTCGCGAAAGCTGCTGAGCGATACAAGCATCGCCTGGATGCCATGAACACGACTCAAGAGTGGAGGAACGGCACTCAGACCCACAAGTAGGCTTTGCTCGACTAGAAAAAAATGTAGCCATCTCGATTAGAGAGTGAAGGTCACTTCAACCACTGAAAGTTGCAGTTGCCCTTACTCAGATACTGTACAGCGAACGTTTCTGTACCCGAGCGACAATAAGCACTTAGCATTGTGACAGCATCAGACCCACTCCTCATTTTTCAATTTACTCAATCCATCACACTCCTACAACCATGCAAGCCGTCACGAATCAGCAGACCATTCCGTGTTACCCTCCGTTCGCAATAGCTCCTGGTGCTGCGTCCAAGCGCACTGGATTAAATGTATTCGTCATTTCGTGGGAAGACGTTCTCGCTCCAATGTCATTCCTAGCAACACGCATCGGCCTTCAACCCACGAGATCCAGCTTGGAGGCAGCCAAAGCTGCCTACGTCCAGGATCGCTATCTACAGCAGGCCCTAGCGTCTGTGGAGGAAGAAACTATCGAGTTTCTACGCATTGCAGCGACATTGGGGCCTGTGTTCATTGTGACAGAGAAGAGCGTCAGGTACATGGAGACCACGTGCGTTGCCTTCTTCCCTCGATTAGCGCATTGGCTGGCCAGCGCTGTCTTGGCTATGGATACCACACAGCAGTTTCGCGTGCGTGTTCTAGCTGCATCTCAGAAATTCGCCAACATCCTGGAGAGCTCAGCGTGGCTCGCTCGAATGTACCAGCAGATCGTCAAGATCGCCGTTTGTGAAGTGCACGGTATCTCGATTGCCAACGCTGGGGCTTTGATCCACGCACAAAAATTGCTGCAGTACCGTGAAAGCGGGACGTTGGGACTAGTGAGTATCAGCGCGGCGGCAATACATCAAGCTGCAAGCCTCCGAGCTTTCGACGTCGCTCCTTATTCGATCCCTAAAGCTGTGCATGTTCCAGGCGGAGATCCATCCAGCGCACTCAACCTAGAACACTTCTTCGCCCAATTAAGGACATTGCAAGGGTACATTTCAAGTGTTGCTGCACACAACTCTGCGTTCTCAATGTCGTTATAAGGCCGTGAATAGTGCTTTTGGTACCGAGAAAAGTTTGCAAAAACTTCAACATGACCATCACTCCGTTTTCGTACTTAATAGAGATCTAACGGTTCCCTTGACCCTTGATTATTCCTAGTCTTGGTGTCGTTCGCCCCCTTCCTCGTCCGTCGCGATGCTGTCGCCTGCGACGCATTCCAAGGAGCTCCTGCAGCCGAGCACGAGCATCGACATGAAGTACATGCTCTCCTCTGACCCGCTGGGCAGTCGCCAGAAGAAGAAAGCCAAACGAGCGGGCACCGACGTGTTCCGCTCCTGTTCCGCATTTCCCGAATATTTTGCTCGCGTGCTGGACTACCGTCAAATGGACCTCGATGCCACCTTCTACCAAATGGTTACACTCTGCGTACAACCCGCTAAGGTCTATAAGAGCGCCTACTACCGTAAACAGACCAAGAATCGCTGGGCGAGAGATGACCCGGCGTTTGCAGTCATCCAGTTCGCCTTCCTACTCGTAGCCACAGTGGCCTGGGCCATCGCCTTCCGTGTGGATAGCGCAGCCAAGTATGCGTCACTGCTGTTTCACGCTGTAGTAATCGAGTGGCTTGGCTGTGGACTTGTCATCTCTACGCTCTGCTGGTGGATCGCTAACCATCATCTACGACAACGGAACAAGTGCGTACAGATATTTGGATACTTCTTTTATAAGGGCTCATTAATTGTTTCTTATTTGATGAAATAGTCTCGGGGTGGGCGATGCTTTGTATGTGGAGCAGCGAGTGGAGTGGCAGTTCGCATTTGACATTCACTGCAACTCTTTCTTCATCCTGTTCCTCTTCCTCTACGTGCTCCAGGTATGTCGTCTGAGTGTTGACGTTTGGAGAGATTTTGGTGCTAATGTTTGGTTAATTTATTATTGTTATTGTAGTTTTTACTGGCTCCGCTGCTGGCGTCGAACTCGTTTGTGATGCTACTGGTTGGGAATCTACTGTACTCGTTGGGATGGGGGTTTTACACTTACATCACGTTCCTCGGATATATGGGTACGCTGGATGCATCACTCGTGTTGGCGATGGTTTTGATACTAACCTACTGCTTCATGCTGGCATCCAATAGCGCTCCCTTTCCTGCACCGGACGGAGCAGTTACTGCTGCCAGTTATCGTAATCCTTGCACTCTTCATATCCACGTTGGTGTTGCAGGCAGTGTTCGGCGCACAGATCAACTTTGCGCACCTTTCGACACACTATTATTATGCTCCATAACTGTAGTGATTCCGGTGCAATATAGCAGACAGCGAGCAATAGATGTTTCTTCAACTCCTACCCGTGACGTTGCTTACTTTGAATATGGCAAGTACTTGTAGGAACGAAGACGATGTAGTAGCTGATATTCGCACTAGCATCTATTAGTAATAAGGAGCTTCAGGCGAGCTCATCAAGCTCGAAACTGTCGATAATGAGACTACTGGAAGAGCATCGAGATGACCACAGCCACCACCGTAAGCGATAGAGCTCCATTGAGGCTCACGGCAGCCGATTCCTCTGAAGATGACGATCCAGCAACACTGCCAGCGGCCGACAGTGAACCAGCCGAGGCCGCAGCGTCAAGCGACGAGTTGGTCACTAACCAGTTCTTCAGGAAGTCACCCAGGAGCTCACCACCCGGACTGCGTGTAGCATTGTGGTAGTAGTCATTCACTGTGAGGTACACATGCTGAGATCTGTTCACATAGAACGTCGAAACTTCGTCACTGATGTTCTTGTACACGTCGATGATTGCCGTCATATTCTGTAAATAAAAGGAAAGTTAGTGAGTGGGTTTTCAAGAAAAATCATTTGACAAGCAACGTACCGAGTAGAAGTCCTCCCCACTGATGAGGTCTGTGAATGGATAGCCGAGGATACCTTCATCCACCAGTTGGTAAAAGTAGCGCTGGGTCTGATCGTACATACTGTTGAGGAAGAGCCACTGAGCGGCCGGGACGCTCTCAATCATGTAGGACATCATCTCGGTCACGGTCAGATCGTTGTCATCGCATCGGTCCCAGAGCTCGGACGTCACCTTGAGGTCCAGATCGCACGATCCATAGTATGAAATAAGCTTTCCTGCCGTGTAGTCGCTGGGTAACACGCCGACGTAGCTGTCACTGAGCACCGAATAGCGGATATTGTTCTCCTCAACCTGCCAGGTATCAGCCACGAGCGCACTTAGCGCCTGAGCACCAAGAGCTCCAGCACTGTAGCCACTGATAATGATTTCTTCTGGGTTCGGATAGTTCTCCACAGCCCAGTCAAGCACCGCCTTGGTGTTGTTATACCCAACTTGGTGCAGAGTCATATTGTGACCCAAACACTCGGGCATGTTAAGCAGCGCGTACAGGGGGCTGTCCTCAATGTGGTCAACGCGGCTACCGATGTGCAGGTCGCCGGTGCAGTATGGGAGGTGTACGATGTTGTAGTCGTTAAAGAGGTTCTCGTCGTTGGAACGATTGAGTACGCCCGTACTCAGGGGCCTGGCGTTGGCGGTGAAAGTCTCGAAAATGCACTGCAGACCAAAGGCACACGTGGAGTCATCGATACAGGCGCCGCCTCCCTGGAAATACAACATGAGTTTGGTCTTGTCCTGGCTTGGAGCTGGGAACACCTGGAAGAAGTAGGTCGAATTGGTGGTGTAGTCCACGCTCGAGTTATAGAAATCGTCGAAAGCGCAGCGAGTAGCACCGCCCGGGTAAATGACGGTACTGCTGTCGAGTGCCGAGGTGGTGAGGTCGTCCACAGCGCATGAGTTCGAGTCGCTCATGACGCAGATCTCGTCGCCATCGCGGATCTGAGCCTGAGTTAGGGACGCCAGCAGCGCCAACGAACCGGTGAGGGCGAGCTTCCACATGATGATGATTCGATTCCGATGAGGGCGAGTGTGCGGCAACGGGAAGACTCGAGAATGGTGAATCCGCTGAGCAGTGTTAGAGCTGCAGCCACCGCCTGGACTGTCCCCATCCTACACAAGGAGCCGGACGTTGATGCCCTTCGTGCACCGTTTTCATCACGGGCAAAGCTCATGTCCCTTGCGGACGGGAAATGTTGGCAACGCTGAGCAAGTCGCTGAGTTTTCGCCGAAACCTGGCAACATTTCGGGGTGGCCGCAGCATGGAACTGCAGCGATTCATCGTCACTGGACGAGCTACGTGACACCAATTGAACGAAGAACTCGTAGATATAGTGGAGCTGCCCTTTTAGGGTATTTTTTTCAGTGAGAAGGGGGAGGTTTTTATGTTTTGATAAACTTGTAGAATCGGTGTGCACCTCTTCGTTACGTTCACATTCAGTTTTTCAATTTCAAGAAGTTTTTCAAGAAGTTAAAAGATGTTTGGATCCGCTATGCCAAACCACGGACTACATGTACTGATCGCGGCTTGTTAAGCTTCCTCGCTTGCGTGCTGGTGGTCGTTGCTTTCGGGTATCGCCTCCAGTCAACCTGACTGTTAAGAAGTGGGTCAACACTGGTGATGTCAGTGGATCCGACAGGCCTTTTCACGACCGCTTCCAAGATGGCTTGATCGATTAGAAACATTCCAGCTGGCTCGGATTGCATTGCACTCTTGGCAGACGAAACCAAGGGTTGGAACACCCTGGTCTGAAAGATAAAAGTTATCCTTTGATAACTCAATCAAAGTCATGCACGTCGGTGATGACAACCACGCATATTAATTCCGCGCCATGCATCCCAAATTGAGATTTTACACTAGTTCAAACCAAAACATCGTAGTCAAAATAAAATGCATGGCGACCACCGAGAAACGTGAAATACCCCGCTTTGCAGCCTTCGACGAAGACGGGAAGGGCTGGCTCAGCGAGAAACAGGGAGGTCTGGCCTCGTTGCGGTTGCTACTGCGGTTGACGCGTCCGGCGAATCGTCTCAGGAGCTTCACGCAATCAAAACTGTGTACATGCACCTTACGGACACTGGATTTCGTAGGTTCACTGCGGCAGTGCCGAGCAGACTGCGTCCACCGGGGTTCTGTATTGTGCACGGCAAATTACCGACATGCTAGATAGCTCAGAGTTTCTGATTTAGAATTTAATACTGTTGGGAGGCCGAACCATCAAAAGATACCTAGGGATGCCTCTGCTAGCAAACTGTAAACAACAGGATCATAGGCGTATGCAGATCACAAAAGGTCTCAACTAGCCAAGCTGAGCTAGGTCTCCTACAAAGGATTACTGCAAGCATAAAGCGCTGGCAATCTCCCAGGGCCGTAGGCTCGTTAAATTCTCGTAACAACGCACCTCGCCTAAAACTATCAACAACTGGGCAATTCTTAAGGTCAAGTTGTCGGTTGACCACTGCAGCTTCAACTTCGTCGCTACAAATACCAAGTCACAATTCCCACTCTCTGATTGGCTCTCAATGTTACTTCTAAAGTAATCAGTAAGTTGTTCTTAAGTTGTTCTTCCTACGCGCCAAAAGCTCTAGCACTTATCGCAGGAACGGAGCTCCACCTATTTGCTAGCTGCTTCTCCATGTCGGACACGACGCTGAGCAACGTGTTCTGGGGCCACAGCGCCGGTGTGCTGGTGCTCTCCGCCTCTGGTTTGCTGTGGCGCAGTCGCACGACCGAGAGCCAGAAGAAACTGCTGAAAGATGACATCGTGACGCTGTTGTGGACTCCGGTGGGGCCCAAGACGCACCACCTTAAGGTCTACCAGAAGGGCGGCAAGTACGTGCGCTTCACGGGGCTCAAGGCACAGGACGTGGCACAACTCAAAAACCACGTGGAGAGCCACTTTGACCGCGAGCTGGAGCAAGAGAAGGTGGCAGCGGCCGGTGGCAACTGGGGCGACATGAAGTTCGAGGGCCCCAACCTCAATTTCCGCACAGCCAACGCCAGTGTCATGGAGTTGCCACTGGAGCAGATTTCCCAGTGTGCTCTACCCGGTAAGAACGAAGTGGAGCTACAGTTCCACGAGGACGACACAGTGGCTGGAGATGAGGAGACACTCGTCGAGATGCGACTGTACTTGCCTCCAGGTGACGGGGAGGACGAAGTTGTCACAGCCGAGGAGTTCCGTCAGGAGGTACTGGAGAAGGCAAACATCCGCAGTGTCATGGGGAAGAGTATCGTGGATCTGGACGAGACCATCGGCACGTTCCTCACTCCTCGCGGTCGCTACGGAGTCGAGATCTATGGCTCGTTCTTGCGTATGCACGGTAAGACGTTCGACTACAAGATCATGTACTCGAACATCAACCGCTGTTTCCTCCTGGAACTGCCCAATGGCATCAACACAGCGTTTGTCATCAGCCTCGAGGAGCCTATTCGTCAGGGTAAGCAGGGATACCCTCATCTGGTGCTGCAACTGAGCAAGAACGACGTCCACATCGACGTCAACTTGTCGTCCGAGGAGATCAAAAAGTACAATGGCAACATCCACGAACGGATGTCCGGCGCGTTGCCTCAGATCGTCGCTACTTTGTTCAAGTTCATCATCGGCAAGAAGGTTTACACTTCCGGTAAATTCAAGACTCACAGTGGCGACCGAGCGGTCAAATGCGCCGTCAAGGCCCAGAGTGGAGTTCTGTTCCCACTGGAAAAGTCGTTCATGTTCATCCACAAGCCCACGACCTTCATTCGCTACGAGGAGATCGACTACATCGAGTTCCAGAGGTATGCCGGACAGAGTGGGTCCTCTGCGAGTCGCAACTTCGACCTGCTCGTGAGCTGCAAGTCCGTGGGTGGTGAGGCAGCGCGCGAGTACATTTTCTCTGCTATCGATCGACGCGAGTTCCCGGAGTTGAGTCAGTTTTTGACGTCCAAGAAGCTGCGGATCCGTAACCTGAAGGAGAGTCATGCGGCTGCCCAACCAGGCTCGAAGAAACGCGACTTTAACGAGTATTTAGAGGAGTTAGGACCAGAGGAGGGCGAGATCGAAGACGACGAGGACGAGGAGGACTCGGACTTTGGGCCAGGCGACGACTCTGGCAGTGAGTCGAGTGACTTTAGTGATGAGGAGCTCAGTGGGAAGGACTCGGACGAGGAGGATGCTGAGGAAGGAGAGGAGGCATCCAAGAAGGACAAGAAGAAGAAGAAGAAGCACAAGAAGCACAAGTCCAATGATGAGTAAATGTTGCAGAGGCAATAGCTGGAGACCAGACTAGGTCGCGTTCCAATACATACACCTTTTGACAATTTTTTTGTGAGATGTAGCAAAGAGTTATTTCTTTTTGTATCAGAATTGAAGGGTTTGCAAGAAGGCCAGTCCCAGTGACGATGGAGACGGTCAGGACGCGCCGACGACCGCGGCGACAGCTCGGACTCGAGGCTCCAGCCAAGGGAAATCTGGCGCAGCACATTGCGAGTATCGTGGCGCTCTCGTTGCAGCAGAATCAAGGCACTGGAGGGCTGTCGAGTGGGAAACAAGGGCGATTGGCGTCGACGCTGCGACTGGCAGAGAAGAATGTGGCCGACATGTCAGCGTATCTGCGTCGGCAAGAGGCTGAGGCTGCAGTAATTTTGGCAAGAAGAGAGGAGGTGACGTCCTGCTATGAAGACGAAGACCAGAATGTGTGTATCATTTGCTTGGACGGCAACATGGAGGACGAGAGTGCTGAAGCACTGCCTTGTGGTCACGTCTTCCATGCTCAATGTATTGCGCAATGGCTACTGTATCGACGAGTGTGCCCTGTAGACCGACGGCCAGTGGATGAAGATGATGTTGCCATCCAAAGGTGAAGGAGCGAAAACTCAATTAAAGTAAAAGCTCATTTGCCGTTAGCAACTGGCAACTTGTTGCAATGGCTCACCTTCAAGTGTGCTACCCAATGCCCTCGCTTGTCCCATTAGCAGCCTTACCACGGGAGAATGTCGCCACGGAAGTGGAAGAATTTGCCACTGTCCTCAGGCTTAGCGTTCGCGATGACCTTAGTGAGACCAGCGACGCTCTCCACAGTAGTGACTTCGCCCTTGTGGCCAGTCATGCGCGTCACGACGTATCCAGGGTGTAGCGCCAGTGTAACGATCTTGTCGTCCTTGAGATCGATCGAGAGGCTCTTATTGAGCATGTTAAGTGCCGACTTTGACGCGCGGTAGCTGTATCTGCCACCGGAGGCATTGTCAGCGATGCTGCCCAGGCGTGAGGTGATCTGACTCACTGTAGCTGTGCCATTCTTAGCCACCGCCAGCTTCAGATTCGGCAGCAGAGCACGCGTCACGAGGAAGGGACCGACAGCGTTCACTTCGAAGAGCTTCATCACTTCCGCCTTGGTAACGTCAGGAACGCCGCCTCCGCCGCCCATGCCGGCATTGTTGATCAATAGGTCGATGGGCTCGCCCTTGAGCTCCCCGGCCGCCTTGGCAATTGAAGACTCGTCGGTGATATCTAGTGGGATGATCTTCGACACCGCCAACTCCTTTAGCTGAAGCGCAGAGCAAGTTAGATACTATACACGGATCTAAAGCCATTTAGAGCCAATATGAATCGTACGTCGGTGGCTCCTTCGACGTCGCGTGCTGCGGCGATGACCTTCCAATCGGTGTTCACGTAGTGGCGCGTGAAGGCGAGGCCGATGCCGCGGTTGCTGCCAGTGATGAGGACGGTCTTGGCAACGCTCATGGCAATGGTTGGAAAACTCCAGAGTGATCCAAAATGAGACGATGGCTGGTCTCACGACCCAAGAGTGATGGTCATTTTTGAAGTGGCTTAGCAAAAGTGACGTACATTTTTCTCCAGTTGAACAACACTCTCGAAATGGCATGCAAATAGACATCTTTTTGGTATTGCACGCGCTTACATTAACTACACTAACAGCTCGCCACGAGAACCATCGGCAAAAAAGGCAAAAAAAGAAAAAACTCGAGCCGAGAGAGAGCGCCACCAGTATAAACGTCTGCCCAGGTGGTCGGCCACCATTTTATCGTCCTTCTCCCACTCGATCGGCTCAAAGCACAAGCCATCTATAAAATCCTCCAGTCGGTCCATCACCTTCACGCCGATAGTTTGTTCTTCTTGTTATCTGCTGCCAACGCTGAATCCTGCTGCGAGTTTTCCAATCGACGTTTCCGTTCGTTTGCCAAGTGTGAAGATTCCTCGCCAGCAACTGCCGCCAGTGCGCTCAGTTGCATCGCAGAGCCATTAGAAGGAAGACCTGTCGACTCGGATGACGCCACCAGCGACAAAATGTCCTCAATAGAAGAATTACGCGGGAATCCAGACTTGAATCCGCCCAGCGAGCTCAGTTTGTCGTACGAGGCACTGGACGACAACGTGCTGAGGTTCGAGAATGACGGGAAGCTACTGAGATCGCCCGATCCAAAGCGAGACAACATGTCCGAGCTGGGCACTCGAGCCATTTTATCACTAGACGGGACTCTCGGGATACGCTGCTCCCCTCCGCCCATGGTATGGAGCTTATCCATTGACGGAATACGCGGAAGTTTGTCCAACGAGGCAACACGCGGCATCTTGTCAAGTGAAGGCACTTGAGGCATTTTATCCATCGACGGCACGCGAGGGAAAATACCCGACGAGCTACGCGGCATTTTGTTCAGAGGTTTGGGGATCTGGATCTGGTTTCCTGAGCCTGACGAGGCCGAGGAATTGTGACTGGGGCTGAGGCGTTTGGTGGTGGCACCAGTGGTAGTAGAGCTAGTCGTCGCACTCGTGGAAGTTGACACGCTGTTGTCGCTGCTAGTGGCAGAGCTCTGCGTATTGACGTCTGCATCCCGTTGCTCCTCCTTGATCCCAGTTTCCCCTAGTTTTCTCCGGACTCCTCCAGACGTGGCATTGTCCTTGTCCTGCTTTGCGTTTTCCATCGAGTTCTGAGCTGCTGAAGTGGCTCCACGAGGACTGTTGGGTCCGTGATCTTGCAGCAGATTGGACAGCTGCTCTAGCGACTGGATACGTGGGAAATAGGCGTTCAGACCTTCGCCAATCGACAGCGGCTTTGGTAAACCAGCATGTTGTGAGTCGAATCCAGAGCTCGTCATTGTGTTCTGGGTCTCCGTCGACGCGTACGAGACGTTAGGGTTCATATTGTTGAAGCCTGACGACGTGGAATGCTGGAAGTTCTCGATACTGGCCACTCGAGGGAACAGACAGGAAAAACTGTCGATAGATGACACACGAGGGAAGGCGTCGCTCGCGTTGCCGTCCATTGGAGCGCTACTTGGAGGTTTATTGTCCTGCATCTGGTTCGGAGGCTGCTGTCCTTGGCCCTGTGACTGTGCACCAGCAATACCCAGCATCGACACGTTGTTATGATCGCTGTTAAATACATGAGAAGTGACGGTATTGTTCTGTTGCGGAGGGTGCAGAGGCGGCTGGACAGGCATGGCTCCTGGTCGACCAGGAGCTCCGTAGCCAGCAGTTGGCTGCTGTACAGGCACTGGACGAGGCTCCTGCTTGGTCATTGGCTGCATGGACGCACTGGGATATCCTTGTTGCTGTTGCTGTGGATGCGGCGGTCTCATAGCCGCAGGGTTTCCTGCCGCCGCCGCTGCGTATCCGATAGATCTGGCCGCTGCAAAGCGGTTCTTGTCCCTAGAGAGCTCCGATTCCAGTCGCTTCTCGCGTCGTCGCTGGTTGTATTGCTCTCGTTCCAAGTAGGTTTTCTCCAGCTCAGCCAGATCTTTGCGGATATTCTCCATGTCCTCCTTGGACACTTCGTCCTCACGTCGTCGGAAAATGATCTTGCCGATACATTGATCGCCTGTGTATTTCTTCGAGATGCGCATAGGGTCGCAATTCAGTAGTTTGGATAGAAAAGTCCGCAGTGTCGTGCCCTCAGCCAAAGGTAAGTTGCCCTTCTTGAACTCCTCAATCAGACGGTCGCAGTAGGCGCTCTCCTCGGCCGTCCACTTGCCCTTACGCATCGCTGTGGGCGGATTACTGGCCGGTGTAGAGTTACCGTCTGCGTTGGCTGTGGGGGTCCCTCCAGTCGCTGCGTTGCCGTCCAGTACATGCGCTTTACTGTCCACGGGATACCCGCCATTGTCTTGGGGGACATTCGCTTGCATTTGAGCCGCGTACTGCTGCGTCATGAGGCGACGTGGCGCCTGGATGGGCGTCCAGCATGAAGGACATACTTTGTCCTTCGTTAGTGCGCGCTCGATGCAGCCAGCGTGGAATTGGTGGTGACACGGCTCCAGTAACACGTCCACGTTGGGATTGTAGCACATGAGGCACGTGCCGGGGGGCGGAGGAGGCATGAACGTGCCTGGGGGAGCGTCTGGACGGCCAGAGGGGGCGGAGACACCGTTATTTCCGGCGTTGTAAGGCATTCCGCTGCTCTGCGGAGGCAGATAGGAGCTCATGGTGCTGGGGTCGGGTCTTGGAATGTGGAGCGCTTCTCCCGTTCCCATTGGATGACGTACGGATATCACTGAAGAGAGGGGAGACGTGAGCGTTAGTACGGAGTCTACTGGGTGGACCAAGACGCGAGTGCTTCCTTCCTGCCTGCACAGCGAGCGCACTTGCTTACCTTGACGCTTGCCGATACTTCCAGAGAGAAAATAACGGGAAGAGACGAGCGAGAAGCGCAGTTCCCGCCGTCGCCAGTTAAATATAGCAAGCGAGACAGCGAATTGCTAATTCGTAGACTCGAGATAGCGTTAATCAGAGGTTTTAGTGGCCAATTTCATGTTCGAAGTGGGACGCACTGATTCGTGTTCTTCTATTTGAAGAACAGAGACGGGGTGTTTCTGCCTCGGTACCGACTGATGACAGCTCTCCCGCGTCACACATTTCTGGTGTCAAGGGCAAATTGCTCGCTTGAGAGCAAAAACTTCAGTTGGCTTTGCAGCACATGCGGATGCGCTTGAGTTGTGCTTCAGAACATATATGCTCCTGCTGTCTCTTTAGGGCGCTGGCTTGCGGATTGCATTAACGTGAAATGGCTCCAGTGGCCAACTCAGAAATGCTTTGATGATCTTGTGGGTTGTGGCGTTCGGTCGCACGCCGAACAGCTCTGAAACGAGACGAGCGTCTCTTTTAGCGGAGCAATTGTATCGGCGACAGCAACAGCAGATGCCTGTCAAGCCAAGTGCCTCGTTTCACGTCTGCAGATTCAGGTTGAACTACAGCGCGACAAGCGGCCAAAGCCTCGGCATTCATGCGCAGGAGCAGACACTAGCAACATGGCAGGGCCTCGATGGAGTTAATGCTGACTCCGACGCTGCCCCTCCAGTCGTGGCAGCATATGGCAAAATCTATTTGACTACCCAATAGTCAACTGACATTTTGGCTCATTTTTTGGGGCTATATTTTTTTACGAGCAGTGGAAATTTACCACTGAGCTGTTCCCGCATGCAGCATGGACAACTAAGCAAGGATTTACTGGGACAATGTGGAATTTCCTTAACCCACTATCACAGAATTAATCCTTGTAGCCTCTTGAATTTGTTGTCGTGTTAGCTGAACTGCATCACGAAACTGAGTTTCGCTCTCGTCTCCCATGAAGTCACGAATTTTGGTGGAGTGGGAGTTTTCCCTAGATTCAACCACGGAGAAAAGGGACTAATGCGCCTTCTTTGGCCCCTAAACCTCGTCCCTAAAACCACAGTTTTGGTGATCAAATCGAAGGCCTCGAAAGTGATCCACCTCCTAAATTGTGGATGAAAATTTTTGGGTCTCCGAAAGAATCGTAGAGAGCGGCAGAGCACATGGCGACAAGATATTTGCTCGCATTTGACTTCGACGGCGATATGTCCCTCCATTAGCAGTCCCCGAGCAGCCAGAGCTCTCATTAATCGCGCGTGAAGTTGTTTGACGCACGTTAGTACATAACTGCAGGTCTCAATCAGCTTCAACAATCGGATACTGTTGGTTCAGAACTCAAATAGCGATGTTCGTAAGCGTCATCGCCGTGCAATGCAGTCTGCTTGGGTCCGCTTCAACTTCACCATCACTCTTGACTAACGGCAACTAAACTTTAACTAAACTTCAACGTGCGTGCAGCGAAATGCTAAATGCTACAGCCAATTGTGAAAGCACCAGCGCAACTTTGTAGCTTTTAGTATCTCCCCCTGAATTGGCTCCAGGAAACCTCCCACTTTCAACCTACACACGAGAGCAAGAAGAGAAAGAAAGACTACGTAAAAAAAGAAATGAAGAAGCTGAAAGCCAACAGTCTTTCTTTGACGCAGTAGGTCTAAATAGACGTGGCTCGGCGGATGGCGCTGGCCTGCAGAGGGCTTCCTAAACTCGGCTGCTGCTTGCCGCTCGAAGGCGGTACGAGGGACGGTGGGAGCTCTGCTGGAATAGGCTCTCCGTCCTTTGCCAACGCGCAGAGGTGCATGGCCACCGCGAACTCATCGGCGTCCAAACTTCCAGCCTTTGACTGGTCAGCGAGGTCCCAAATAGCCCGCAATATTTGCTGGGAGACTGTGGTCGTCGCCTGCTTTTGCAGAGGTGCCATACAGCTTCCTCCAGAAGCCCGGCCAGTGGAATCCAAGGACAACGTGGCGAAGATAGCGTCGTACTCTGCCTTACGTCCCAGCAGCTCCTCCTCCCACTGCAATTGTCCCACAGGGGCGACACTGGCGAAAGGATTATTACTCGAAGTGTTCCCATACTCAGGGCTCTCCACACCAGCGATCCCCACACGTGTGTGTTTAGGCAGCGAGGCCATCAATGCTGGGATATCCTTGGTAAGCATATCGTCGATGTCCTGCAATTCCCGTGACTTTAAAGACGGGAACTTAGTGAACTTTCGATCAGCGCATTGGCGAACGAAGGCGTCGATCGGAGGGAAATCTCCTGGTGGCAAATGGTATTTGCGCTGCACCTCTCGGAAGTTTTCGGCCATATTTTCCAACAGTTCGCGCTGTTTCTTCTCCATGCCAAAAACCGCCGGCATCTTGTCACGCAAGTGTCCTAGAATACAGGCATGAACTTTGGCTAGTCGCGCGCGCTTCACTAGTTCGTTCACTTTACGAACGGCAGCATGTTGCGGCAAAGCACGCAACTCGTCGAGCAGGTCTCGCTCTTCAGCATCGAAGAGCGCCTCGGGAGTACTGCCGCTGCCATCTTCACCGTGTTGTTGACGCGGTTGAGACCAGAAGGAGCCAAGATACACACGCATGACTTCTGGGGTCTTTAGAACTTTGCCTAGCGACCACATGAGCGCACCGTAGACGCGTAACAGGCGCTGTTGATCCACTTGATCCGCTTTGTTTAGTACACAACGCACTTTATCACTTTGGCCCTGCAACACTTCGATAACTCGCTGAAACTCGTCCGAAATATCAAGTTTGTGTGCATCAAAAAGCAGCAAAATGAGGTCGGAGCGCTCGGCAAACCAACGCGCCACTTGTGTGAAGTCGTACCCACGAGAAATACGCTGTTTCTCGCCACTCAGAATACCGGGAGTGTCGACAATCGTTAGTTGCTGAAGCAATGAAGATGGAAGCTGCGCCACCTCGAATTTATTGAGGAAGGCTGTACCAAACATGGACAATCCACCGTAGGGTAGATCTGGTGACACACATGCGGCATTGCCCGGGACTGTGCGTTCTTCCAGTCCGTGCATCACAGCAACGAAGCGATCTGTTGTGGGCTCTGGTCCTACACGTTGACCAGGAAAAGGTTTGCCTAAAAGGTACTCGATGAAGGAGGTTTTGCCCACAGAGTACTGTCCGATCATGAGCACCTGCGGCTTGGCTTCAAAGTCGGCATCGCTTAACAGTGGCGAGTGGAAGTCTCCAAAGTCATAGCGCTTTTCTAATGGCCTTAGCTTGGTGGCGTAGAGTTTCTTCAGTGCATCAATAGCCTCGCGACTCTTAGCTGCAATTTCGGCTCCTTCACCGCCAGCATGAAGCTCCGCACCGCCCTTAACGGAACCAGAGCGCTGAACTCGAAAACTCGGAGCCTTGGACATGGCAGCGCTAGCAGGAAGATGCTGGTATGAACGTCCGTTGGGGTGTGACTGCTCGCCAGAAAACAAAACTGCTGCCTGCGGGAGTGTTGGTCGCTATGTTGCCGTTGTTGAAGTCACGAAAACAGCTGGAAGTAAGAATGTTGGTCACTTTGTTGCCGTTGTTGAAGTGGAAATGGCTACACTTTTTTTCATCCTATCTCTCTCTTCCTTCTACCTCAGCGATGCACCTTCGAAGTCGTGTTGCCACGCCGCTTGCTCTTCGTGTTTTTCTCTGCAAAGCGCTTGAGTTCGTCGTATGTAAGCGCTCGTTCGTCCTCTTCATCGTCTGCCAATTCCTCTCCAGTTGCAGCTCCGCTAGCTTCGGGACTTCTCTTATCGTTTCCAGCTCGTCGGTTTCCCATCACTTCATCCCCGAGTGCATGCGCCACAGCGAGTGCTCCTGCGAATTGACGCAGCGACACCGACTCACGACAAGAAGCACGGCGGGGCTGCTTCGAACTGTGTCGCTTCGACGATGGACTGATGACTCCGTCCGGTGTCAGGGGCGCTGGCAACTCGATGACCCCATCAACGCCGCCAAAAGATGGCACATGTACATGCAACTTTTGTCGCGGATCGGACGGTAATGTAGGAGGGCCGTGTCCCACTGGCAGTGGTGACGTTGCATCGACGGTTGGAGTCTGCGCTTGAGTTTGACCACGTGTTTTCGCTGGTGAAGCTTCACTTGCTTCACCACTAGCTTTGCTCTGTAGTAGTGCCGTCGTGTACATCTCAATAGCCTGCAAATACTCGATAACGCTCGAATCCGTGATGCCCTGTCCAAGTGCTGTAGCATTCCCACTCGTAGTGCCACCAGTAGCTGCGTGTGCCATCGTATTATGCACTGAGTGTACCGAGGCCTTGATTCTGCCTAACACAGCCTCTCGTTCCTCGATCTCCGCGTCCAGATCATCGCAAGCCTGTTGTGTTTCACGTAAAGCTGCTTCTACTCGCCTACACTGCTGTTTCTGTGAGGCTCGACTTGCTATCCCTTCACGAGCCTTGAAAGTCTCGATCTGAGTGGTGAGCGTAGCCACTTGAGTCTGCAGTGCCACTTCCTCGCGACTAAGTTCTTCCACACGCTTAAAGCGTTGGAAATTGGCTGCATCGCGTGCCAGTAAGTCTTGCGCTAATGCTGAGGCATCTTGAAGCCCTGTACGCTCACGTATAGCGGCAAACGCTTGGTCATATTTGGCCATTAGACTGTCGGGAACAGACGTCAGCGCTCGGTCCACTCCGATCTTCCAGGATGACAGTGCAGTGACTCGAGATAACGTTCCTGCACCAGATTTGTCTTGCTCGGAGTTTGCATCGAGCTCCGATAGACCCAAGGACGCGTTCTGCATCTCACTGGCAGCCAGACGCACGCCCGTTTCGCGTCGCCAGTGCTCGATACTGTGCTTAAGTTCCTGGAATTGATGCTCGTACTCGAACTGCTCGCGTTCGGCGGCATCCTGCAGCCGAGCAACTTCCCGAGCCAATGCTTCTCTTGCGTGCGTTGCTCGAGTCAAATCAGCCTTTGCTTGTTCATGACGAGCTTTACAACCGCTAGTTTCGCGCTCGAGCTTCTTGTAAATGCCGTCAAAGATGATGCGGTCTCGTCGAGCGGCATCCACTCGTGCGAGCAAGTGTTTGTTGGCAGAATCGACCTCATTCTTGCGAACCAGAGCGAGCTCCAGTCGGTTCTCCGCCACGCGAAGTCTTCCTGACACTGCGGCTGCAGCGGCCGCTCCTGCTAAGGGTTTACCGGGTGTTCCAGCCTCTGTTTCAGCGGCGATCGCGGCGGCAGCTTCATGAGCAGGAATCGGCTGCAATGCAAGACGCAAAGCGGCTAACTCTCGAGTCTTGCGAAGGATAATCTGCTCTGTCTTCTCCACTTGACGCTGCGTCTTGGCGAGCTTCCGAGCGAACGTGGCGAGTGTGGATCGGAGCTGTTCGACTCGACTGCGCTTCTCCTGTCCTAACAGCTCCCTCGCTGCTCTAGCCTCGATCGATAACTCTTGCTTAAGTAGCTTGTTGTGGTTCTGTAGTCTCTGGATGGTCTCACGAGGTGCTTGCACTGAAAACACTGCAGCATGAGGACCCGGCGGCTTCTTGACTGGGCTAGAGGTTGCAAAGCTGTTTGGACCAGCTCCAAGAAGCCCAAAGACGCTTCTCCGTCGAGTTCTTCCAAGAGGCTCCGGCATAGGAGGGATGTGATCGTCGTCTTCGTCATGATGCTGCTCGTTTGCAGCCGCCAACGTGAGTCCAGCGATGATTCCTAGCGTCGTGTTGGTGCCTAGCAATCTACTCACAGCGTCGGTACCGCCGTCATCGCTCTCAGGTCGAAGGTCTCCGCTCATTTAGAGAGCGACTGAAGGACGCGGGGCGTTTCAAAGTGGTGCACTGCACTGTCATCCGTGTATTTTGTTTGACATTATACGTGTCTCCTAAGTCCAGGGGCTCCTCGTCCTCTTCGATCGAAGACAAGGCTGAGACTCTGGCGCCTCTCTTGGTGTTCTCTATATCTTACAAGCCGCGAGCTTTCATTCAACACGCGGCATATCAAGTACTGCAAACGCTAACTTTCCTTCAGCATGCAGTGGGTACAGGGCGACCTTGACGGAAAACCTTCTTGCTCGACTTCTTGATCTCCATGGAGCGCGGCGCCGGCGGATTTGGCTTGTCTACAGTCGCGGGTTTAACCGTCTTGATCACTGGCTTGGTCATTGTCACGGGTTTGATGGTTTTCACGACGGGCTTCGCCATCGTCACAGGCGTGATCGTCTTCACCACAGGCTTCACCACCGGCACAGGCTCGATCGTGACCTCGGGGGCGCTGACGTTCAGGCTGGCCGAGACTTCCTGTAGCAGTGATAGCGCAGCTGCACTGGAACGACGGCGTTTACCGCCGTTGAAGACGGCACGACGCGGTAGACGGACGCCACGCTGAGGGACATCCTCGTTTGACTCGGGTTCTTCCACTTCAGCGTCCAGGACCACAGCCGACGTGGGCTTGGCGGGTGTCGCTGTGTTCACAGTAGATTTCTTAGGCGTTGGCTTGGATGTGGGGGTCTGTTCGGGCTCGAAGAGCACAACGAGAGGAGCTTTTGGCTTCACGACGGGTTTCAACGACTCTGGCTGGAAAAGCACCACACCTGGGCTCTTCTGCTTTGCAGGTGGAGTGGGCATGGGAGATCGAGGCCTACGAGGCGATGCCGCCTTGCTGTGTACAGGGGACTTTGGAGCTGGTGTCGCAGCTTTCGGCGGGGCCGGTGCTGGGGACTTGGGCTTGCTGGGTGGTGCGGGTGCCGGTACTTTTGGTCTGGATGGTGCAGTAGGAGCCGCCGTCTTCGGCTTGACAGGAGGGGGAGGCGGTCGCGACTTTGGCTTGGACGGAGCCTTCTGTTGCTTTTTATTGGCGCTGTCAGGGGCGTCTGGCACAGACTTGCGGCCATAGGCACCTTTCAGTCGACCACGCTGCTCAATGCTGATATCCGCGGGTCGAGCGCCCAGGGAGCTGCGTCTAGTCACGTCTGAATTGCGGTCAATAAAGCTCGAGCCGAGATCTGACGGACGAGCGCCCAGAGACGCGCGCGAGTCAAGTGAAGCGCGAGACGGCGTAACAATTCGCCTGCACAGACACATATCGGAGCATCCGTGTTGCTGATCAAGCGGCTTTTCCCTCTTTCGAAGGCTACTGTAGTGGTCGTGTTTGAGCAGCAAATTGATCGTCTTGCCCTTGCCTTCCTTAGTTCTCGCATACTTGTCAGTGTCGATGCGCAGTCGCTTGACGGGGCCCGTGTGCACGATAATGTTGACACCCAGCAGTCTGGAGGCGGCTACGAGCTCCGGGTGGCCGCCCCACGCTCCTGCTTCACGAAGGCGTGCGCAGTACTCAACGACTCCCTCACCAGCCACGAACGGCTCGAAGAAGGCGCGTTCCAAATCGATAAAGTCTACCAGACGGCGACGCAGCTCCAAGTGGCGGCGCTCATGGCCGTAGAGCTGGTCGCTCAGCGCTCGGAAGAGGCAGTTGCCATCCTTGCGGATCGGTGCCACCTCCCAGCCGAGACGGAGATATTGGCGTTTGTACTGGTCATCAGAGACCCAGTTGGTGTCCCGGGACGTGACGCTGCTGTCCACTACGAACGAGTTATCGTACGTAATGCGTGGAGCGTACGCCTCGGCACCGGCGAACTGGCGGTGCGCGCGCTGTGCTGCTAGGCGTTGGCTGTTAGAGCGCGTCCTGGTCGTACCGCGATCGCGGTTGCGCGCGTGGTTTCGGAGCCACGCGAGCGACATGGCAGTGTTGACCCCTGCAAGATGCACGGACGGCGCCACGATTCACAAGTGCTCGACGCAACTCGGTTGCAGGCGAGCGTGGCAGTCTAGGAATGAGCCGAGGACCAAGGAGAGACCGAGAGAGCGAGCGCGTGGGAAGCCCGGGCGACGGCGGACCAAGTGCAAAAAGGACACGCAACAACGAGTGCAAGGTGCAAGTGACGGAATCTGGAGGGTCAAGTTGCCAATCAAGTCGCACGAGTTGACAACAATGAAAAGAGTTCAGAACATAACCTTTAAATTTGAATACCATTTTATGTTTTGCTGCGGGTCATTGTATTTTCAAAGGTCGAACTCAACAGAGGTTTGCTGTCGTATCGAAAGGTCGCAACATCAAGTTTGGCAAGAAGAACTGGCTAGCGGGTCCAGATACTTTGGAAACAATCTGCGATCTGCTGTCGGAAGTTGCCGCTGCTGGTCAACAGCGCAAGGCATCTCGAACCCGGCCTCTCCTTTGCTTTCCATGCTTCTTCGCTTGCTGCATCGAGGCTATCCCATTTACTTTGGTCACGTGACCCGCTTTGTGCTTGTCTTCGCACCGAAAGCGGGATTGGTGTGCGTGTGTGAAAGGATCCTGAGGTTTGAGTACTTCTAACCTTTCGCTCCTTGCTGCAATACCCACATCCAAGGTGGAGGAGCGTGGACTAATATTCACGCTGCGTGGAGCTCGACACCTCGAGCGGCAGGTGGGGTTACTTACGTGCGTGCTTCGCGATATCCGACCCATCGATCGGTCGACCAGCGAGTGGCGTGTCTGGAATTGTCTATAGGGCCCTGATTCACTTCAAGCTGGTCAATAATGGCCATATCCTGCCACCAAAAGGGTAGAGGCCGCGAACTCGGGACATTTTCACGTTGCCCGAACAAGTCGTGGGTGATGACGCGTTGGAAGGACGATGTGAATGCCGCAACGGCTAAGCTCATGAGTCCCCGCCGAGCGCCAAATCGAAAAATACTGGCGAGACTGCCCCTACGCGTTGTGAAATGTGAAAAAAGCTACGAGTGGCGGGCAAAATCCAGACTTACAAAAAGCAGGACGAGTGCAACGTGTGTGTGGGAGAGCCATAAATGAACAGATCTGGGCGACCGAAACAGTAGAACTACGCAGAGGCCAGCCACCGTACATGCGTCGCCTTCTCGCTCACCTGCTTACATCTAACTCGATGCCCGCGAGCATGAACAATGTTTTTGCCTCTTCTGCTATGCATTGGACATCGAAAGACACCTTGTCGAGCCTGGCACAGTGAAAAAATCAACGATAGATGTGGAGAAATGCACACTGTAATTCGATCGCATCACCTCTTACAGTACAGACGACAAGGGTAATTGTTTAGTCTCGACTTGGGCAGGAATCAACATTGGAAGATGCATGTGGTGGTCAGTCATTGCAGGCACGAGAAGCACCAAGTGACCAAGACAAATTTTAAGTTTTATCATTGCATGGACTGCCCAGGCATTTTCTTCTATTTTGGCAAGGTTGCTTGATACGTGTATCACTGCCTGTACCGAGGGTTTCTTTCGTGACAACGAAGACGGACGAGCCAAGCGAGGCGGGAAAGAAGGAATGGTGCGGTCCTTGGAGTCGGGGCAGCAAAAGAGACGAAAGCATGCACTGGATGTAGGGATTCCTTAATAGGGAAACCAAGGGGTGCGGATTGATTCCGAGTATACGAAGCTGAATTCCGAGTACAACTATCAGTTTGAACAGGTTTTAGACAAACGGTGGAAACCCGAGTACACTTTGTAGAGGAACCTCGAGTACGCTGCGCACACCGATATCTGTGCGGTATAAACATCTCATTTATTTCGTCCAATAGTTTAAAAAAAAAAAGTATTTATTCCACGTGAACTGGACTTCGATGTGTTCGTAGAGAAATGATACTTTCCCCAGACAAGCGTTGCTTTTCATCTTTTATCGATAGATCGAAAGAAGACACAAAGCGCTACAAATATACTGGATTCACTACTCACAAACCGAGATGAATACACTGCTATGAAATCGTTTAAGTATTACCAATTCTGACATTAATAAGCGTGTTTTATTCAAAATCTTTTTTTTTCTTAGCTGTTTTCTTCCGCTTGCTCATCCAAACTTGTTACGTCGAGTCCGATCTTCCGCGATGCAGCGATGATCTCAGCAATGTCTTGGAACTCGTAGAATAGTTCGTCACCGTCGACGAACTTTACACGCCATTGGTACACACCATTCTTCAGTTGAGCGCCCTTGATCCTGCCGGT